TCAAACTGTCCAACAGCCAATAAAAGGACGGATTTAGAACCAAAAAATGTCTCTTGAGCCGCTCTGGAAAACAAAAGGGTAGTGGGATCGCTCTTCAGGGGCTGGATGAGATTACGGGGAGAGCTTCTTTGAGTTTATCGACGTCTGCCACAGAGCCTGGCCTGCTTTGCAGGGCCGTTGTGTGGCAAAGTATCCCAGCTCCATTTCACTTTGGAATTCTGCTCTGAAAAGACGACCATGATATAATAAAGGATCTTGTGGGTGGAGGAAGTAGCCAATTCTGTCTCGGAGGCAGGACGGGTGTCGTTCTGCAGATACCAGGGGTGAAACTGGCATCGGACCCCGACAACCTTGAAGCCCCACCAGACAACTCGATCCAGGCACCTGGCAGGAGTAGATCCAGGATGTTTTGATCCTTTGCAAATCGTCCTGAAAACCTACAAGGGATCCCACTGTCGAATGAAGTCTTGGAAGGTTCAGGAAGAAGAGAGACGTATTTTTCTACCTTCTGCGTCCTTTCCCCGTCTCCAGCGCGGGGGCTACTAATCCCCATCCTCCCTGGCTGTGTGTGATGGGCGGTGTAGTCCAGCACTTCCTTTTCAGGCCCACAGCTAGGAAAGAGCTTTTCAATGGAAGACACAGCTTAGAAATGCTAGTGGAAGGAAGGAAGGAAGGAAAAAGAAAAAGGGAAGGAGAAAAAGAATGCAAAGGAATGAATAATCTTTTATTGATATCAGGCAGGTAATGTACGTGGGCGTGTCTTCAAAACCTCATGGGCGTGGCTAAGGAAGCCTCGCCTCCTTCCGTGATTCAGGCTCATTTCAATCTTCCTACGTTGCTGGTACGCTTCCATTCGTTGGTCCTCTTAGTTTCCCCCCTCTCCTCCGAAATGGTCGCGCCCTCTCTGCGCGCGGTGGAGCTCTGGTCGCTTCCAATTGGTGCGAGGGAGGCGGGAGCGCGCTGTTGGGACGTTGGGGCCCGGGCGAGACCATCCGTCCGCCCGGGCGGGGGTGGTCGCGGTCAAAGTGGCTTTTCGCGCCATGGCCGAAGTTGGTGCTGATTTTCAGCGGAAACCGGGCAAAGATTTCGTGGGCGAAGAAATCCAAAGTCAATGTAAAATAAAAAAAAAATTAATGAATTTTTAAAAAGGAAGAGGACCATGTGCTGATAAAATAATCTGAGGTGATTTACAGCCATGGAGGAAGGGGGCGGGACTTTTGCATGATGGGCAGGGTGGGTGGCCTATTCCATCCTTCGAGTGTGGCCAGAGCGAGTAGGCGGGAAAAGGCTTAACGCTGCCTGCGTAATTCTCCTCAGAGAGGCAGCCAATCGGATCTGCGCAGCGTCTCCTTCCCTCAGAGAGTCACTTCAGACTCCGATCGCCTGAGGAGACCCAGAGGCTCCCCGCTTATCGAGGACAGGCGAGTTCCCCGGTCTTTCTCCGGCTGCCTCCCGCTCCGAGCTCCGATCCCTTGTGAAGCGCCCCCCCTTGGGCCTGCGAAGGGCGCGGGAGTCCCTGCCCGACACTCCGGTGCAAACTCTCTCGGCGGCCTTCCAAGTAGCCGCCTCGGTCTCTCCCAGGGAGCGCCTCCCGGCTATGGAGCCTCCTAAGGAGCCGGTGAGTGGGGAAAAGGTGGATCTTTCCGCCCCCAAGCCTGGCGTGGCCAAGGGATCCCCCTCCACGCCCAAACCGGCCCCGGCCAGAGCCTCGCCCAGGGGCCGGCCCAAGGCGCCGCTCGCCAAGAAGGCCCCGCTCGCTAAGAAGGCCCCGAAAGCCGCGCAAAGGCCCAAAAAGGCTTTAAGCACAGTAGGCGCCGCAGCAGCAGCAAAGGAGCAGGAGCGCCCCCGTGTGGACGGAGCTGCCGCTTGCAGCGCTTCCCAGCCGTTGCAACCT